TATATATATATATATAGGGTTGGGTTCACATGAGAATGGTTCTCAATGAAAGAAATGAGAATAAATCGTAGCCATTGGATCACATGATCCAACAGCTTATAAAAAGCCAAAAATATACTTCACTAAGGGGATTGCAGTAATTTTACACATTACACTCAAACATGCAGGCTCCACCCCACATTAATAAATTTGTCATTAACACTATCTACCCGTCAACCACCCACCCTACCTCACCCTACACACTCTCTCACATACACACACGCACACACATAACTCACACACCCGCACACACAGAAACACACACTGTCACTACTCTCGCCGGCGAACCTCCGGTCGCCAGCCACACAAACACATTACTCTCATACACACACACGCGAACACACTCTGCGCACACACTATATATTCACACACACACAATGATTAACCGCCTGAATAGCTTGACCACCACCATGGATGTCTGCCACCGGCCACCGTCCTCCGGCCATTGTTCCCGACGTCGCAACGCCGTCGATTTTCGTCACATCGATGCGAAAGGCGGCACCGCCAAGTCGATCGGCAGGCCACGACGTTAATCTCCCGAAGGCCGGAGGGCCGATCTCGCATGCGAGCACGACGCCAGCGGCCGCACGTCCTTGCACCTAACGACCGGCAGGGAACACTCCAACCTCGTTGCAGAGCTCCGGTCGGGATGGTGTGGTCCGCACGGGAAGTTCACGGGGCAGCGTCGCATTTAGCTCATATGTCAAGGGCATGAGTTTGTAAATTAGATTAATCTAAAGGGCCTGATTATAATTTCAGACATTTTGCTTATATTTCAATTTGGCCCATGGGCTAAATTTCTACTTTATAAAATATAAAAAATAATATGTTTTATACTTATTTTATATGTATATAAAACTATGTAATTAATTTTTCTCTCTCTTGAGAGTTTCTTTTCTCTCTCTTGAGAGTTTTTCTTTCTCTTCTTGAAGAGTTTCGATCTCTTGTTGCAAGAGGGGAGTGGTGGGGTGGGTCGGATTTCCCTTTCTTTTGTTTGTAGGGTTGTTAATTAGGTTTTAGGGGTCATCTTTTGGGGGATCCGCTTTCCTCAGAGATCTAGGGTTTCTAATTGGGGATTCGAGTGTGGGGAGTTATGTCGCAAGAAAAGGTAGAGGATGCTCTGGGATCTCTATTAGAAAAGTTCACATTTTCAGATAAGGAAAATTCGTTCGTTGACATTGAAGTCAGAGATGTCAGCTTCAGTGCGGAGGAGTGCAGTCGTAGTCTGTTTGGGAAAGTGGTGGGTGATAAGAAAGCCAACTGGATCGGCATCAGAAGGGCTATGGCGCAGGCTTGGAGGGTAGGAAACGCTTTGGAGGTCAGGGAGCTAGAGTCTAACTTCTTTCAATTTATTTTTCAATCCAGTAATGAGAAGGAGAAAGTGAATCTTGACAAAAACTGGGTGTTCGATGGGCAATATTTAGTGTTGAAAGCGCGGAAAGAGAGAATCAAGAGTACTGATGAATGTTTCCAATCGATTAACTTGTGGGTGCAAGTGCATAATGTACCCCTCAACTGGCTTAGCTCAGCAGTGGGACTGAAGCTTAAAAGTATGTTCAGGGGGATTAAAAATGCTCATATAGCTAGAGTGGGAAGTCAGGGTGGTAGGGTTCTGAGAGTTCTAGCTACATTGAACTTGAATGAATCTTTGCCAAGGTGGGCTAAAATTAGACTGGGAGACAATGTGGTGGTGGTCCAATTCAAATATGAGAAGCTGTTGAATATTTGCTACTACTGTGGTAAAATTGGCCACTTAGACAAGAACTGCAATAAAAGAATGACTGATATTGATGTTAATGAATTCAATGAGGGGCAATTCGGAGAGTGGATTAAAGCAGCAGAAGGAGCTCATTGGCCAGAATCTCCAATTCAAAGCAACCAAACGCTTTCTGAAGAAATTCAAGGAGGAAGAACCCCAGACAAGGTGAATTCTTCAAAAGCAGAAGCTGGAGAAATGGGGTCATATAGTAAAATGGATAGTCAACAAATAGGAACCCCTCAATCCAAAGAGATTCAGATTCATATTAGTGAGGAGGAGGACTTGATTGGGCCCTACACAGTGGATGTGCCTCTACATATTCTTAGTGAAGTTCCAGGCACTTTCAATTTACCTCAACAAATGGTTATGGCACCTGTGAGCTACCCAGAAGATATGGTGCTTGCTACAACATCAGAGCATACAGAGGTTCCAGACAGGGCAGAGCTGGAAATGAAGAAGCCAAGGACATGGAAGAGAAAACCCTCTAATCTGGGGAGAGAGAAGAAGAAAGTTGGTGTGGAAGTAGAAGGTGCTAAAAGTGAGAAGAAGAGACATTTTGATGAAGGGGAGAAACCAGAAGAGCTGGAAAACCAGAAAGGGGAGAATGAAGACAAGAGGAAGAAGAGCAAGACTCAGAGTCCAATGGTGAAGGCAGCCAGCCATAAATGGCTCCCAAATTCCCAATGAAAGCCATGGTGTGGAATTGTAGAGGGCTGGGTGGGCCCTCTACAGTTCCCCAATTGCGAGAGGCATGCAAGTCTCACCATCCAAATTTTGTTTTTTTATCTGAAGTTAAAAAACAAGGCTCTTTTGTTTCATCTGTCTGTCAGAAGTTGGGTTTCAGTCAAAGGTGGAAGTATGTGGAACCACAAGGCACCAGAGGAGGGATGTTATTATGTTGGGATAGTGAAGTTGAAGTGGTTAATATTTTGTCAAAGGATTGTAGCATTCAAGTGCAATATTCAATGGGTGAGGAAACTAACAGTGAGTGGATTATATTTGTTTACCTCAGCACAAACAAAAGAGATAGAGAGGGGCAGTGGGATCAACTGCTTAGTGATAAGATGCATTGGGGAGATAGATGGGTTATCATTGGGGACTGGAATGATCTGAGCAGCCCTGAGGAGAAGAAAGGAGGTAGAAGAAGATCTTGGAGAAGTTGTCAAAGCTTTAACACTTTTATTGCTAGCATGAGCATGTGTTTGTTGAAGATGGAGGGCTATAAATATACATGGGGTAATAATCGAGATGAAGAGGGCTTTGTGGAAGAAGTTCTTGACAAAGGTTTTGCTTCTTTGGAGTGGTTAGAGGTCCATCCTCAAGCCAAAGTCACCAATATTTTCAAGAGCTCCTCAGACCATGGAATGATGCTTCTGGAGGATGGGTGTAAAGGGCAGCCTCATAAAAGGAGGTTTGTATTTGATAAGAGGTGGTTAAGCAATCCTGAGGTAGGTGAAGTTATTAAGAATACCTGGGATGAGGTTGATGAAGGCACTCCTATGTTCAGTTTGAAAGAAAAAATTAAGAAGACTAGAATGGCTCTTATTAAGTGGGCCAAACTTTTCAAACCAGGAAAAAAGGATAAAATTGATCAGCTCACTTTAACGCTTGAGGATATGAGGAAGCTAGGGGGGGAAAGAAACTGGGTTGAATGGGAGAACATTCAGAAAGAGCTAGATTCAGCACTTTGTTCTGAGGAAGTCTTTTGGCAACAGAAATCCAGAGTCCTATGGCTCAAAGAAGGAGATCTCAACACAAAGTTTTTTCATGCTATGACAATGCAAAGAAGGAAACAGAATGCAATTTCAAGGCTTGTGGAAGGTGACAGAGTCTTTCAGTCTCAGAAGGATATTGAAGATCATGTAGTGGAGTTTTATGATAAGCTGTTTTCAACAGAAGGTTCTTTTCAGGAGAATGAGGCTTTGCAGAATATTGTTCAAGTTATTTCTCCTTCTATGAATTCTAGACTGACAGCTGCAGTGGGAGAACTGGAAATTCAAAAGGCATTATTCCAAATGAACCCTACCAAAGCTCCGGGTGAAGATGGGATGACAGCCTTGTTCTATCAGCACTATTGGCCAGTGATTAAAGAGGATTTGTGTAATGCTGTGACAAGCTTCTTTCTCTCGGGGAGAATTTTGAGGTACTGGAATCACACACTTGTGGCTTTAATTCCTAAATGCTTACATCCCAGCTCAATTACTCAATTTAGACCAATTAGCCTTTGTGGAGTGGTCTATAAAATCTTTGCAAAGATATTGGCTGAGAGAATGAGATCTTGTCTTGATGTGTGTATAAGTCAAGCCCAGGCAGCCTTTATTCCGGGAAGGCAGCTGCTGGATAATGTGATTATAGCTCAGGAGTGCTTTCATTTTCTTAATAGACACAGATCTGGGGGCAATTGTTTTATGGCTCTCAAATTAGATATGCTTAAAGCTTACGATAGAGTGGAGTGGAGGTGTGTGTGCAATACAATGCTGAAGATGGGATTTGAAAATCAGTTTGTGCAGTGGGTAATGGCTTGTGTCTCGTCCCCTACTTTTTCTTTCCTGGTGAATGGGAAACATGCAGGTTATATCAAGCCTTCCAGGGGAATTAGACAGGGTGATCCTATCTCACCTTTTCTGTTTCTCATTGTTTCTGAGGTATTCTCTTCATTAATTCAAGGGGCAGCTGAAGAAGACAGGTTCAAAGGGATGAGAATTGCAAAAAATGGTCCAACTCTAACACACTTGTTATTTGCGGATGACTCTTTAGTGTTCTGCAAGGCTGAGATGCAGCAAGTGAGGAGGCTACTACATATTCTGGCCATTTATCAGAGCTTTTCAGGTCAGAAAGTCAATCTTGCCAAGTCCACTATATTTTTCAGTAGAAATACTCCTCAGCATTTGAAAGAGAGTATCTGTTCACTACTAGTTGGCATTCAAGCTCATACCTCGACTAGATACTTAGGGCTTCCCTTGGGCATAGGGAAGTCAAAAAAAGAAACTTTTGATTTTGTGGTGCAATCAGTTAAAAACAGAATGGCAAATTGGAAAAGCAGGTACCTGTCTACTGCTGGTAAGGAAGTACTCATTAAAGCGGTCATTAATTCACTTCCTGTTTTCACAATGTCTTGTTTCAAGTTGCCTAAAGGGCTGTGTGAGGAATTGAGCAGACTTACTGCTTTCTTTTGGTGGAGCAAAGGGAAAGAGCAGGAGAGAGGATTACATTGGAAGAAATGGAATTGCATGACTACTCCAAAATGCAGTGGGGGACTGGGATTTCAAGATTATAAACTTTTTAACGAAGCTCTTCTGCTTAAGCAACTGTGGAGAATCACAACTATGCCAAATTTGCTAGTGAGCAAGGTTCTTAAGAGTAAATACTTCCCACTTTCTTCTATATTTGAGGTCAAGAGAAATCAATCTGCTTCATGGATGTGGAACAATTGGGTGGATGTGATTCCCTTATTAGCTAGTGGTTTGACCAGAGAAGTGCATGATGGCAAAAATACCAGAATCCTTGAGCATAGTTGGGTGCCAAAATTGAAGCATTTAAGTCCAAAAATTCTCACTAGTGCTGCAGAGTCATTTGAATGGGTTAGTGAGCTTCTTGATGAATCTGGGAATGGGTGGAATGAAAAAGTGTTGAGTGATCTTTTTAATGACAGTGACAGGTTGGCTATAATGGAGATCACCACTCTTGATCCTAATAAAGCAGATGTATGGAAGTGGTCCTATGATCCTAAAGGGCAGTTTTCTGTGGCTAATTCCTATGCTCAACTAATGAAAACTAAAATTCTGAAGATGGATGTGGCAGAAGGAAGCAGAGAGACAGGCTTGATGTCTAAAGTCAGAAACAGAACTTGGAAGTTGAATGTTAAAGGGAAATTGAAACATTTTCTGTGGAAATGTTATAACAATGCTCTTCCAGTGGGACTGAATATCTTGCAGAAAGGGTTACAGGTTGATTGTATTTGCAAAATGTGTGGAGAAGAAATTGAAACAGTGGAGCACTTGTTTATAAACTGCTCAAGAGCCAAAAAAGTTTGGAAATTTTCTCTAGTATCTTGGGCAGGTGAGCAGGAAGGTAGGCAGTCCTTCAAACTATGGTGGAATCAAGTTTGCTCTACTGATAAGTCCGAGGTGGCCGAAGATAGGATTCAATTGTCGACATACATCCTTTGGTGGCTTTGGCGATCTCGGAATCTTTGGCTATTTGAGAAGATTTGGATACCGGAGTTAGTCATAGCAAGGAGAGCTTGGAGTGAATGGCAAGAGTTTGTGGCTGTTAAGGGTGGTAGTAGTTCTTTTTGCCTTTGTTCTTAGTTTCCTTCTGTTTTTTTTCTTTCTCTTTCAGTTCTTTCTAGTTGGTTTTAGTAGCCTCGGCTTTGTGATGCTTGTGTTTGTCTTTGTTGTTGGTTGTTTGGTATTGTTCTAGTGTGCTTGGGTAAGGTCTCGGTGGTTGTATCCCCGCCTTAGTCGTAGTGTTGGTTGAGTCTCTAGACCACATTGTATGTGTGTCTCTCATGGTGCTTTGATTTGTATTGAACCTCCGGACCTTGTCCGTTTTTAGTGATTATTATAAAACCTATCGTTTGGAAAAAAAAAAAAAAAAACTATGTAATTGAGATTGACCTTTTGCCTGCTATTGCACCAGCTAGTGTTCTAGCCTGATGTAGTAAAGTAATAGAAAGCAATACGGATTTGATCATGGGTACGGTGCATTAGGATTTAGGAAGATTCTTTTTTTCTTTTTTTGTTTTTTGGAATAAAGACTAAAGAAGAACCCAACATTAATAAAATTGTAAAAATATTAAATACATTTTATGATATAAAAAATAAATTATATTGTTCATTTAGTGTAAGTTCTGTTAGCTCGGTTCAATTTTAGTTTAGAATCGCACACGAAAAAAATACACAACAAAATACGCAAATAATTTTAGACGAGATGCACATCATTGCCTACTGAAATGCACAATAGTATTTATTTTTATATTTTATCTTATATCTATATATATTATACATTTTCAATAGTAATAATATGAAATAGTAAATAAAAAATTATAAATACTAAATATACTTTTTATTATATAAATCATTAGAGAAATGCAATTGACGTTAATTGACATATACATTATTAAAGTTTATAAAATTGCAATAAACATAAAACATTCCCGGTATATTATAAAATTAAAATGCACGTAAAATGATCTATTATAAAATTAAAATGCACATAAAAAATACACCAATTAATAGACTGCATGAAAATGTTAAAATAATATTATTTCAATTAGTTGGGTTAATTTAATGTACAATTATATCTAGTAAATATGGTGTTCAAAAACAAATAATTTATATGTGATCATATAAAATAGTGCACTTTATATATCATAGCACTGCACTTTATAAAACAACAAATTACACTTTATAAACGATAAGTTGTACTTTATCACCATACTCCACAGTTAACGTCAACAACTCCTGCCAAAATACCGCACAACATAAATATGAAAAACGAATATACGTAATACTTTAACATCAATCATTCAGTAATTAAAAAATTACAAAAAATAAGTATTTTGTGATTTTGGGTTAATTTGATGTACAATTTTATCTATTAAAACTAGTTTTTTTTAATACGCATAATTTATCTGAGTTCGTATAAACTAATGCACTTTATAGACTAGCGAGTTGCACTTTATAAAACAACATGTCGCACTTTATAAAACAGCGCGTTGCATTTTATAAAACAACAATCTACATTTTATCATGATATTCCACAATTAATGTTAATAGTTCGCACCAAAATACCACAGAACATAAATCTAAAAAAAATTATCTACATAATATTTTAACATCTATCACATCATTTGTCCACATAAAAACAAAGCATGCTAACATACCGAAATAAAAGTAGTGCACTTTATACATCAACATGTTGCACTATATGCATCAACATGTTGCACTTTATAAAAACATAACACCATGTACTTTATCACGACTATAAGATCGCCCGAATAGCGAATGAAACCAATCGAATTCTTTTTTTTTTGTTTTCAATCAAAAATAATATAAAAATAGTAAATAAAATTATTAACATGTAAAATATAATTTTAATATAAATACAAAATTATTTCGACAATTTTTAATAATTCAATTAATCAAAGCGAATAAACCAATTAATTATGTTCATCTTCAATTTGATTAGGACCAAAGTTCGTTTGGTTCAATCTGCACAATACATAGTCACCGTGCACCATATTGTTGAACGAATTGCACCTTAACAATTG